ACCATTTTTGTTGGTTACTAATTACTTCGTATTAATCGCATAGAATAAAATTTCCTTTTCCACGATTAAAACACAAATGCTAATGTATCTGGCTCTGGTGCATTTTGTACCAAAAACGGGAAAAAATGAAATAATTACAGATTTCGTTATCCATTTTAACCTCAACATGGCGACTAATGCTATCAATTTACCAAAACGTTTACTTCGTGGAAAAGTTAGGCAGGTTATATGCTCGAAATGAAGGCAGAGCCAGATGTACAATAAAAAAATGAGTATATGTGAGTCGTTAGAATTAAGTATAATAGAAGCCTAAATAAAGATATATTGATAACCGACAAATTTGTGTATATGTATGCGTGAGATATATTGATGTGGTAATAAACATGACACATCACTACACACTACTACATCAATATCGCACGCATACATACTCACAAATTGTCGGTAAAACAGCGGATTTTTGGAGTTTGATCTAGGGTACGTTTAGGATCCTCTTAAACGATGAGATACATTTGTGTAATAAGACGGTACATTTATTGGATTAAATTCGAACTTAAACTTTATCAAGAGATACGACAATGTATGTGCGCACAAATCTGCTTCTTCATTTTGCTATAGTGTAGTCGCGCGCGCGCCACCATGTTACGAACAGCAAGCAGCAACTGCGATGGACCGTGCATTACCATCTATATGCTAGCAATTCGGTTGCGAATACCTGGGATCAGTAACGTTCATCTATAGGCTTTTGAGAGCTTTAAGGCACCACAAAAAATAAAAATATTTTCAGAGAAAAAAATCGTAAAGTGATTTTTTTTAATGTTCTGTTTTTTAATTATTTGTCCTTGTTTCTAAATGTGTTTCAATTTTAACAGATATTAACAATGTTAATTAGTTATTTATTAGAGAAAGAGAGGAGGAGCTCCTAAATTGAGGCGTTCAACGTTTACAATTTTGTAAACGTTGAATGCAAGGTTGTAACCTTGAAATCAAATTTTATAAATACGGCTAGTCTAAAATTATCAAGTCAGAAACGATCGAGTCGATTAAGTTCTTAATAGGCAATCAATAACTTCGATTTTGATTATATAAGAAAAGCATCTTAAATTTTTCTTTTACGTGTATTTAAAAATGACATTGTAAGTGTACAATTAGTCTATAATATTACTAACACTAGAACTGCCATTAATGTGATAGTTACAATTAAAAAATTTCAAATTAGAACAAAGATACTTGGCAACAAAAAGCTGCGAAATGTTACAGGGTAACTGTCCTCATTACTGCCGGTTTAAGCATATAATAACAATTAATATGCTTATTTTGAAGCTTTTTAAATGCGTAATAGGTACTATTTTTTAATATTATTTTAAGTACAAACTTTAATATACCTGAAATAAAAGTAACAAACTAAAAAATCAATTAATTATTTATATATAATAAAATAAATAAAATATAAGGTTTTGTACCTATTACTGCCAGTCGATTTCCAAATACTGCCCCCCCCCCCTCCATTTATTGCCGCACGTACCAAATATCGCCTCGCGCGCCATTTAATGCCCGTGTACCGAATACTGCCTTCCCATTTAATGCCCATTTGCTGCAATCTGCATCAAAACTTTGAGAATACAATTGCACAATGTTCTTCAACATTCCAAATAGATTGCAGTAATATCAAAATATCCGCTTTGGTTAAATTTGTTATTGCAACCTATCGCAGATATCTATAGGATAGGTTGCAATGACATATTTAACTTAAGTTGCAAAAATCTTACGCAATTTGTGTGCTATCAGGGAAATATCTTTCAAATACCTAACTCTTAGTTTCTGTTAACTAGTTAACTGATTAACTGACTTGTAACAGAAATGTACTTACGTGTTTATTTACGTGTTTAATTAGATTAAGTTATCCGACCTAATGCTTTCCTCACTCTTATAACAAAATATACACATTAATTATTACACAAATCTGAAAAGAAAAAAAGATATATCTTTAAAATATTATTTAGTGATGCCTGACAACAATATTTACAAATATAATATTATATTGTTCTCCATTAAGAATACTGACCGCTTGTTCATGTCAACTTAGTTGACAGTAACTGACGCGTATATAGGTATATTCACGCATAACTATAAGACTCATATACTGCCGGCAGTAATGCAGACAAACTTTAAATGATTGTTTCTAATACTGCCATTTTAATTAATTAAATTAAAAAAGTAACCAGTCACTTTTTTATGGGACAGTTACCCTAGCTAAAGAGGCAAATATTTAGACCAAAATCGACTTAACGATAAAAGCACTTAAAACGTAAATAAATTTTCTCGTTGTGCAGCGATTTTCAACCGCGTTTAAGTAATCTTCGAAATCTCGAACGCTAATTGTGATTTATAGTATAATTAAAAAAGTCGTAATTAGTAGTTATAAAAGCAACTGTCTTAAATCTTCCGCGCTAATTCGTTTAGTCTCGTTAGTTAGCAATAATAACAGTTACTTTCACACACAGTTCTCCATCTGATAAGAAAATATAGTTAAGATCCTTAAGATCAAAATTGTTCCTTAAGGTCAAAAGTGTAATCGAGATCATGATTGCTATTAAACTAAAAAAATTCTATTTTTAGCTTACGCTACATCTGACAATGAATCGAGAATATCGTATCTTATGCAATCTTAATACGAAATCTTCACGTGAGCTTATTGTCTGATAATTTTCTAATTTTCCGCTATATAGAAAAATTAGATCCGTAATGTCGAAATGACAAATCGAATATAATAAGAGACAATATTGTATTATACATAATGTATATACAGCTTATTTTTTATTTTGTTAAATACAATTGTATTATTTGCGTATCCTAAATTTTCGTGAGTCATATTATATTTAATTCACTGCAGGCACTGGCCCATCATTTACATTACTCTCGTTTGAGCAAACGGTCCAGTGTATTAATCTATTTTATACTAGAGAAATTTTATCAATTATCATTTGTTGCTAGAAAATTTTGTATAAAAACGTTTTCCTTTAACTTTATACAATGCAATACATGTCGCTGTACTAATAAGTATCAGTTACTAGTCATTGTTAGCTGTTTTTCCTTACGACGATTAGTCATGACACGTATATATATACACCTGGACATTAGGTGTTGACGCAAAAAGTACTCATACGCATTGATACCGATGAATGTTTTACGACATTGTTGATATGTATGTACAACGAGTCGACGCAAAATGCTTGCGTACGTTACATCCTGGATATAAATTACCCAGGATCCAGAACGGTTCAGAAAACCGAGACATAATCCGCGTATCAAAGTAGGGCAGGAATAGGTGTACCGTTTTCAAGGTTTCCTCATGACATGAGAAAAAAGTAGAACGGCGAGATCAGGCCTTCGATTTGTGTATAATATAGCGTTGGTATATTACGCGTGCCTGAAAGAGAGAGAGAGAGAGAGAGAGAGAGAAAGAGAAAGAGGACAGAAAAAGGAATTCCTTTTACGGATGGATTGCAGGACAAGCGATAATTCACGTCGGCTCATAATGCGAGACGTTCGGTAATAAACACGATACCTATTTCTCATCGATCGAATCGAGAAAAGATCGTTTTTTAACAAAATGTCAAGGTACGAATAATTTTTGGGCTGCAATCGCGCAAGGGAAGTCAAACTTCAATGAATACGGAGAGGAGTATTAATGATCAAATGGTTAATGAAATGTATACATCCAAAATATTCTATTAATCGCAGAGAAATGCGAAGAAATGTTCAAACAAAATCAGATGGAGTATTTGTGTACAAGGAAAACCATCTTGTTTGTAAATAAATCTTATCGAACATCTCATAATGTAATAATATCGGCATTAATTACGTACAAGCAAAGAAATATATCAATATACATATAATCGAAGAAAAAACGCGCGAATCTAGAGCACACGTGATCAGAGCGAAAATTCACTTTGACTCGATTGACCGATCGATTCTTCATCCAATCATAACGTCAACCAGAAGCTAATGACTTTTTACTCTTTACTTCTTCACGGCATTCACTATATCGTTCTGTTCGCGCAATGCCAATAATATATCGCGACTTCCGAGCCGCCGAGTACGTTATCTATTAATTTTCTGTACCATTATTGAGCCATAATTCTCCATTCAATAAAGTAATGCCCGCGATACTTAGTCCCGATAACATATCGGTAACGATTGCGCCGTTAATGCATTTGGAACAAGAAGGAAGGAAGAGGATGCGTCCTATATTCGAAGAGAAAGAACGCTTTTCAAAAATGAAATGTCACAGCTAGTCGATTGAGCTGACATTACTTATTACTATAACTTATTAGTCACCGAGTTGGCAATTAATACCGAATCGTTAGTAAAAGAAATCTTTTAATGACTTTTCGGATCTTTCGCGTGAATGGTTAATGATCATGGAATTTTTCCTTGATTGTGTCATATATTCAGCATCCGCTAAACACAAGAGGAGAAACGAACGAGTGTATCTCTCTCTCTCTCTCCCTCCCTCCCTCCCGTCAATCTCGACGTACTGTAATAACTATATGGTCAACCGGTTTAAACATACTCAGATTTTCGATCGATTCCACCGAAGTATCAACGCAATCGACTGCACTGAAGATGGAAAAGGATCTTCATAAAAAAAAAAAATGTTTGTTTGCGAATGTTATAAAGATAATTGTATTACAAATTTTGTACTAAACAACTAGATAAATAAATATAATATGTTATTCTTCCAGAGAATTTATGAAAATTTAAAAATAAGAAAAAAAAATTAAAAAATCCAAACTTTCTAATTTGCAAGCGGCCATACTTATTTGACCGCCGTACTTATTTAACCGCGTTATAAACTCTAAATCGTGCAACGAATTCTTACTGGCCCTTATCTAATCTTATATAGATAAACTTCGGATGAAATATTACAACGCGTTTATAATTTGCATCGATCAAGATGTAATTTGAAACACATCAACGAAATTCGACAATTCTCGAGTTAAGGAAAAAAATTGCTGTTTTAAATCGGTCATTGCACATCTTCATAAATATATATGATTTTCCTCGCAGTGGCGAAGGGAAAGGGAAACGATTCCCGGAATTAACGGTGCGCGCATCAGTGGTGAGAAAGAGGACAGGGCATTTATTATTTATTATAGATAGGTTAAGGGTTAAATTGCAATGTGGCGCGCGCGTCCTGTCCTTGCATCGTGAATCGCACGCGAGCTAGATCATCTCGCGTACTTTTTTAGGACGGCTTTGGGTTTAAGTCGGCCGTAAACCTATATACCTATATATCATGTGCACACGTATTATCGCACATGTCTCTGATACCCGGCTCGTGCCACGCAAGCGCGAAGTGCGTCAGAAAGTCCGAATGCGCTTACTCCAAGGCCGCGACTCGCCAACGTTCGATGCGAATGAAACGACGAGGCGTCTCTCGCGCTCGTGGCGCATAAGTTTTGATCTGTCCTTCGCTCCGTCACAAGTATATAGGCTTGCATTTTCTAATATCAAATCAAATTAAATCGCACCTGGAGACGTGCATTAATCGCGATTGCGCATGCGCCCACGGCATGTCATGCCGACAGGTTTGTACTTATATACTGGGCGCTTCGTGCGTGTGAGGGGCGCAACGGAATTTATTTATCAGAATTAATCTGTTTAATCTCTTAACTGTGTGTGTGTTAACTACAAATTTATTTGTTTTTTTGTAGGTGCACTGTTATATTTCTTGCATTTGAAATGCAGAAAATAAATACGTTATTAGATAATACACAAATAAGAAGAAGGGAATAAAATGTTCAAAAAATTTAGTTAAAAAATTTATTTATTTATTAATAACAATTATATTATCGTTTGAATAACTTCAAATTGCACCATGAAACAATAATATTTAATTCTGTAAGGCCGAGAGCACATAAAATGCATAAAGAGCATACAAGCATATATAGCATATAAGGCGGTTAGACCAATGAGAATCTTATGTAAATTAGTATGGCGACTTTATGAGGGCTGCTCATTGGTCTAGCGGTCTTATGCTTACACTTTTGTTACGCATTGCATGTGCTCCCGGTTTAAATCTAGCTGTCTATAATTGCAATCAAGTCAGGAAATCTATCTAATTTTTGTTGCCGTCCCTGGTAAATTTTTTTTTAGAATTCTTTATATAATTTTTCAAAATTTTTTATAATTTCTATATAATTTTAAAACTTTTTAAAAAAAACTTTTTTCTGATTTTTTATATAAATTTTTATGAATGTTGAGAAAATCGAAATATTCTAAGATTTCTTATTTTATAATTTTTTAAGAAAATTTATAAAATCTAAAAATATTTTTTTAAATTCTTATAAATGTAAAAAATGTAAAACAAATTACAATAAAATTCTTAAAAAAATACTATAAGATATTACGAGGACTATTTTCACCAGGTGGTTCAGCTAATCGAATTTATCAAAAACAATTTGCAAAGTGTCTACTACTGTAGAGAAATATATATAACAGAATTTGCAAATAAAATACGATATGCCAGATTGCGAGCAGAAATAGAATCTATCATTTTGTAACTCAAATGATATATATTCCATTTAAATGGCTATGAAACGATAAATTTGCTTGGTTTTTACTGGTCATGCTGTCACATTATATATATCTATAGATTCTGCTTTATATCGATAGATTTTTCTATTATAGCAGAAGAGCAGAACATATATGAGTTTGTGCGAACGCGGCTGATGTCAATCTAAATCGCAAAATTTTTGTCAAATCTGCTGATAAACGGCCCTAGTAAAAATTAGCTACTAGTACAGTGAAAAAGCTATTGAAATGTATAGTAGTGGCACTGCTGATTAAGCATACCGCTACATTTTTTGCTTACAAGATTTTGATTAATTAGTCACGTTGACAGATGCTTAAATTTAGATCTCTGCTAGCATTTTTTTCGAGTCTGCTGACGCTAAATTAATAAATATAATCTCGATCTAAAGTTCCCGAGCATCGTGAATCGTGAATTTGGAAACCGTGCTTCGATGCCAGAAGTATATATCTTTATATTGTTGTATTAAACAAATTATAATTTAATAGTAAAAGTTTAACAATAAAAACAATAAATTAATACATATAAAAAGCTATATAAGCCAAAGTTGGATGTTTATTATATATGCTCCAATGTACATATTAAAAAAAAGAAAAAGATTACGCCAAGTATATAAAAAAGTATCGTACGTACGTTACATCTTTCCTAAATATTATTATCCTAAATATACCAAAAATATTATTTTAACAAATAAAAATTCAAAAACAAATATGAGATTATATAAGTTGCCAAGTATTTGATTATAGATATAGAAACAAAAATATTTTTTTAATAAACCGTTTAAACCATCCAAAAATATATGTAGCAAAAGTTTAATGCCATATTGTCGTTCCAAATAATTTTAAGTTTCATAAAATAGGCTTAAAGTGACTAAAATGATCAATGATTTAGGAAAGATGTAATGTACGAAAATGTACGTGACTAAAATGATCAATGATTTAGGAAAGATGTATGATACTTTTTTATATATTCTCTTTTATATATTTTCCTAAAATTAAAAAAAAATGATTAGTATCTCGATAACTATTGCGAAGATCGCAAAATGATAGAGGACTTTTCGATTCATTTTAGCCCACACCTATACTTGCCCACGAGCGCTTTACCATTGAATATTGAACACCCTGTATATGTTACACATGGATTGCATGCTTTTATCATTTTACGTATTAATTATATTATTATTATAAGGTTTTTTAAATTATCTGATATGTAACGTTTTTATTTAGATTGCCACATTGATGACCCAATCGGAGTCAAAACACCCCAGGAAAAAATTTTTCATATAAGAACATATATAAAAATATATAAAAATATATAATTATATATAATTATATGCAAAATATGTCCATATATATCTGCATATATGTTTCTTTCCTTTGTAAAATTATTCTAATAAAAATGATAATAATAGGAAACATAAAAAATAAAAGGATAATTTTTACTTTTTTTTTTCAAAAAATCAAGTTTGAAGAAATGAGAAAAATTTCTTATATATAATCATATATAAATGGTTAAAAGTATACATATATAATTATATATATGAACAATTTTTTCTTATTTCTTAAAACTTGATTCTTTGTAAAAAAAAATACAAAAATTCTTTTAATTATTTTTTATGTTTTTTTATTTTTACTTTTTATTTTTACATATTTTTCTTGTATCAAACAATAATTTTACAAAAAAAGAAACATATATATCTATATATATATATATATATATATATATATATATATATATGTGTATATATGAATATGTATGGACATATTTCGCATTTAATTATATATAATTATATATTTTTATATATGTTTATATATATTTATACGTTCTTATATGAAAAATTTTTTCCCGGGACGTCTATGTACTTTTATATATTATTTATTGACTATTATTTGTTGTATAATTAAAATTATAATATGCCCCGATTCAATTGAGTAACGATATATGTTACAAATCGAAGCAAAATCGGAAGGTTTCGGCCCATTTACCGAAATTGGTAGCAGACTTGAGAGAAACGAGTCTTTCTTCGTGTGAAACATAATGTTTCACCTGGCATCCTAGAAGACTTGATTCGGTCCTGACGTCTTCGTGCGATACTTGTGGTAAGTATGTATACATATTCTATATATGTATGTCGCATTTTGCCGATGACGAAGATTAGAAACACCATGCTCGTGGCACGTAAAAGTAAAGCGGAGTAGGACGGAGATAAATGCAATTAAAAACAATTAATTACAATTTTAATGACAGCTGTAGTGGCTGTAGTGTAATAACAATGCTCGACGGGTGAAGATTTCTTTAAGCCCACGTATTCGTGAGGTAGGCGTGACGAAGGTTATGGGATAATTGATACCATCGCCGTTTCTCACTCACTATCACTCACGAGGAGCATGGGAAACTTTGTGGGTGATATTGTGATATGGTAAGTCTTTTAATCTTAGCTTTGTCGAAAGCATAAATGCAACGGCATCAGCAGTTCCATTTTATAACTGATGCGATAACGACAAGCTAGCTCGATAGTCGCATTGCTTCTCGTATTTTGAATGTCTTATTTTATAATTTCATACACAATTTTCGTGTTTTCATTATCATGCAATTAAAGAGAATATATTTGGTAGCGTGCTGCTACTACTTTCAGTCAGCGTGATATTTGGAACCAGCGAGGTGATCAAATTGTTCACGAACAATGGAGAGGATATTCTCAAGACATCTACTTATAGTTGGATATTTCGATTGTGTTTGAATTTGTTGGGATACGCCACTGTGCTATTGCCAGGTTGCCTTATATACAAATATGTACGCTATACAAAGTACATTCAGAGAGGTGGTAAGTGTCAATTTGGAAAGAACTATAATAACGAATTCAATTGGACGCACTAATGTGCACTCAGAGCTGCATTCAAAAACTTCGCCCAGGTCTAGATATCATTTTATTCTTGTTTAACATTCGGTAAGAAGAATAAAATGATATACCATGAATTCTTGAACACACCCCAATGCATATTAATGCTATTGTACACTGTTCTAATATAAGTTCTCAATATAAAAGTGAAACATTCCGAATAATAAAATATTCAATATGTATTTTAACAAATATAATACAATAAGTTACTACTAATTAAGAATTTCGCATTTTAACTCATTTCTATACTTATATTAAACATACATTTTTACAATTTGTGTACAATAGTTTTAATATGTATTGAGTGCGTCCAACCAAACTCGTTATAATAATGTTCCAAGATATACTATGGTTAAAAAAATATTTATGCAGGGAAAGGCTGTATTCCCAGATTGGTGCATTCGTGCTTTGTGGGACACTGTGAAACAGGTCTCTTGGATTCACCGGCTTATGCTCCTAATGCTTCCACTCACATCCAGCGTACTTTTACTCAAGACGCCCTATTACTGCTGTATTGTTTTCTTGGACTACAAATTAGTTATTTAACATGGGGCTACTTACAGGAAAAAATAATGACGCAGGTATTGGCCAAATTTAATTGATAAAAGAGAAGTATCTATCAAGGAAAATAATATTTATGCTTTTTATTAGTGTGGCTACTTTATGATATTTTTAGTGTTTATTTTTGTAATGTAATTTTCTCTAACCTTAAACTAAAATCTCACTAGTTTATTTGTACAGGAATACGAAGATGCTTCTGGCAATAAAGTGCGGTTTCAAGATTCTCAATTCCTGGTATTTGTGAATCGTATTCTTGCTTTCCTAATGTCAGGATTATATTTACTTATTCAACGTCAGCCGCAACATAAGACACCATTGTATAAGTATGCGTTTTGTTCTCTATCAAATATCATGAGCAGTTGGTGTCAATACGAAGCTCTGAAGTACGTCAGTTTTCCATCGCAGGTGAAAATTTACGATTGTACATATCTTTTGATGATTCGTTGATTTTCCTAATCACTAATACAACTTTTGTACATTAAACTATTTATATAAATGTTTTATATATGTCCAAAATTATTTTAGGTTCTAGCTAAAGCTTCTAAAATTATCCCAGTTATGATAATGGGAAAAATAGTTTCGCATACAACATACGAATATTACGAGTATGTTACCGCGATTCTTATTTCTATCGGTATGACGCTCTTTATGTTGGACAGTTCTGATTATAAAAATGGTAATACTTTGTTAAATATTGCAATATATTTTAATTGTAATCAATATTACGATTTACAAATACTTTCAGATGGGGCTACAACACTCTCCGGTATTATTTTACTGGGAGGTTATTTATTGTTAGATAGTTTCACAAGTACCTGGCAAAATGCACTTTTTATAGATTATGGAGTAACTAGCGTACAAATGATGTGTGCAGTTAATATGTTCTCCTGTTTGTTGACTGCAATGTCTCTGTTTCAACAATCGAGCTTTCCGCTAATATTTTCTTTCATGACAACGGTAATTAATTTGCAATACGCATGTTACTTGTAATATTGCTTACAAAAGTGGTACTAATGACTTTTATTGTACAGTACCCCAGGTTTATAATTGACTGCTTGTTGATTTCAATTTGCTCAGCAAGCGGCCAATTGTACATTTTTTATACCATTTCGAAATTTGGATCCATTACATTTGTTATTATGATGACCATTCGTCAGGTATAATTAATATCATTATTTAATATACTTGTCAACTTGTAAAAAAGGGGTAAAAGAACATAATCTCGCATTTAACTAATCTATTGTTTACAGGGTCTAGCGATCTTATTATCGTGTTTGATCTATCATCACGAGATCACCGTGATTGGAGTGTTTGGTATACTGTTGGTATTTGGTTCAGTATTTTTACGAATTTATTGCAACAATCGATTACGTGCAATCAGAAGACGCAGAGCCGCAGCAAACAGTATAAAACATTAAAAGTTGTATTATTTAGACAGAATTACAATTTTAACTTTGTCATGAAAATAGAATTTTATCAACTGTTTATTGTAATTGCCATAGATTAGGATAGAATTTTAATGTAGTAATTAGATATTGACTGTAATTACGGACGCTAAATTTTAATTCTTTATTTCTATTTAACGTTGTAATCTCCACATATTATATATCGCGAATATATCTCGGGAGTTTTTTGACAGCTTTCAATCGTATGGACATCAAGAAATATTGCATTTATAAATTTTGCAGTCTATATACGTCGCATGTGTGACATATGGAAAGATATGTACTTGAAGATATGTGATCTGAAAGAAACCTGTTGGCATCCATTATAAAAAAGAAAATGTGTGTTACGCCACATATATATTACAGCATAAGTATTGTATTATTTATTTTAAAAATATTTATTTTGATATAAATACATACATACAATAAAGACGTGCAAGTTTCTTATCATAGACAATTATCCAATATAGAGAGGAGGATAGCATTACATATAGTAATTCCTTTTTTCTATAGGATTTACAGATTACTGTTTAAATATGAGAACATTTATAAATGGCAGTGTTTATAATCATGATAGAAGTTGTAAAAGTAGCATAAAAATCTTTTTAATGGCCAGTCTTTATTTTTACTAATATATATTTTGTAGCAAAGCTGTTACACAGAATTTATTTATATCAGGTTTCAGGAAAAATAAAATGTGATACATTCTCATAAAATTATTTTTTACATATTAAGATACAATAAAAATCATACACAGAGCAAGAAGTCTTATTGTATAGCAAAAACAGTGGTAAGTACTTTGATCTCGGCCTTGAAGAATTAATGACACTCGGAATGGATTATTATGTGACAAGTGCAGAATATGGAGTCATCGTGTGACTAGAATATCAGAGAACACAGCTAGTCATTTCCCTGGGACTGGTGGTCGGTAGATGGCTATAAGGCACATGATTGCAATGACCACCTCGGATGCCAGCAGAACCAGCTGAATACTGCAGAGGATCACCTCCAATCTGAGTACGTAGTACTGCCAAAGCAGGAAGTAGAGCGTTGCTAACGAGCTGGGAATGGTCAGGACAATCCCAATGAGGATCGGCAGCCCACGCTCAGTCAGATTTCCTTTCCTTCCTAGATATATCCTGCCACTTTCTGTCACTATCAAGAAGAATAGCAACGCGAACTCTATCAAGGTCTTACTTGCGCCCGGTGATGGCATGTTTGCGGCCTTGAATAGCCCCATTCCCAGCTCGCATACAGCAAACATGCCAAAGTAAAAAGAGTTCAGGTACATAAGAATCTCGTAGGTAAGCGAGGAGTTCGCTACGGTGGGCATTATCACTCTTGGTTTCACTCGTTGCAGGAAGGATAAAATAGAAAGTAGATACAAGCCTTCAGGCCGGTTCTACGATCAGACACACAACCACTCACGGCATTGTTTGCACAATTTGCACTCGTTTCAATTACGATCCATTTCCGAAAAATAAAACAATGAAAAAGTTCCTTTCAGCATTAATTCATCTGTCTTATTTTCTTAATGACTCCTGCCTTCAATGTTGGACAATACGACCAATCTCACAATAAATTGTATCTTCTTCTTCTTCTACTTAAGGCTTCCGCTCATGATGGAAGTATAACATGGGCTGCGTTCCGCAAAGCGCATCATGCGCATGATGTATCATGGTATCCTTGTTGTTCACCAAATGTTAAACAAAGATAAAAAGATAAATCTTGCGCATGATGCGCTTTGCGGAACGCAGGCATGGTGTGTGTAGAGTCCTAGATTATCAGAGAAGCGCGACCGGCTTATGGCAGTATCGCAAAAGTACTAGAAAATATTAAAAATGGCGTCGAATGGCCAATCATAAGATTGATTTATTCGGCAGCCATTTATAATAGCGATAAATCAATCTTATGATTGGCCATTTGCGAGTCCAATCAGGACTCGTAACACCGGTCGCGCTTCTCTGATAATCTAGGACTCTAGGTGTGTGCAGTTGGCAAGTGTCTCTCTCTAAAAATCTGCCCTCTTCGTCGTTTGGCTGTCGATGTTGGGAAAGCGGTACCAACTGCGAAAAGCGAAATATTTGGCGTCGAGATGTTGGTATGGAATCTATAGTACATGTGACGCGAACTGTAGATTTTCATACCGGCAGTATATATTAAA